GACTCGATGGGCAGTTGGATTTTGTTATTACAAAAAAACTCATTTGTTTACTAGGTTAGATCGAGCTCCTCTCGGTAGCTCAAACCAATGCATACTGAAGATATGCTTAATTATTTACAGTAAGATCAAACTGACATCTTTGACAAAAAACCCTTCAAAACCATCAGACGACGAGACTGCTCAAAAGAAGATCTTGCAAAACTCCATGCGATGCTGGCTTCAAATGACTTTTTAGATTTTACGAAAACCTATAGTTGTAGTGTGGATACCTTAGGGAATAGATCAACTTATGCTTTGGTCTATGCTATCTCGTCGAAACTATCTACCTACGCGTGGACAGGTTTTCTTCACGACTACCGGTCCGTAGCCACAAGGATCACAAGCCTGCCTTACAATCTGAGAGCGCCGTTTCGAGCCTGCGTAGGGACAGGGCGACCTTCGCAGTAACCTTGGCCCATCTGCGATTGGTGGTGGTTGGGCGGCAGTGCGTACCGGCGTATTGCCGATGCCGTTTTTGTTGCCTTCATCACTACTGAAGCAACTTAGACGAAAGAAGGAATGGGTATACAAATTTAAAATGTTTGCCAAGTTAAAAAAACTAATGTTGGCAATAAACTAAGAAATAATGCGACTGAACAGTCTGTATTTTGAAATTGTGTTAGGTAATCACGATTATCGTGACCTTTGGAGGCTATTAAAACAGCTGTGTAGCAAAAGTTCCCTGAAGCGACTTGATAATGTGGATGTGGACAGATTCAATGTGGAAGTTCGTCCTTCCCCACAGGGTGTTTTTCCTGCCCTCCTTCCACAATAGTGATCTCGCAGTCAACCTTGATCAGTTGGATGTCTACAACAGGAAACTCAAAAAATGGAAGAGATTACATAGGCTGCTGGACGTGATACTTTATCCCCACTCGCACTAAAAGAGTGCGCGGATAATATTGCGGTACTCTTAACCGCTTTATTCAACCGCTGTCTTATGAGTGGCACAATCTTTGACAGTTGGAGAGTTGTAAGGATAACGACTGTGCTTAAGGAGTCTTAAAGTTACCGTCCGATTGCACGTACGTCGATGATGTTGAGTTTTTGAGAAACTACTTGTATTTCGGATCTTTATGCGCATTCAGGCAGAGTAAATATACCAGTTTACCTATAAACTGGATGCTGTGTCGTACCTGTACATTTGGTAGTATCGGCATCTGCTTTTTCTCGATTATTCAGATGTTGACGCTCGCAGGGAGCGTGAACACATCAATCCTTCTCAACCAGCTGCTCACGAGTGGGGTAAACACAAATGTCGGCAGCGTAATCACATTATTTTCAAATCGTACCCATTTCACGTAGCTTAAGGGAACAAAATTCTCTATACTTTGCTCCGGTCATGGCGTTTTACAAGGAGCGATTCGCTCTTCCCTACTGCTTACCGAAGACCTCTTTATAGCGTCCAACTTTATAGGATGCAAGTTGAGATATCCACTCTTCAGTGGTTTGGATGAGTTCGTGCTGCGCTCGTCGATCCGGTTTCTCACTCTAAACCTTACTAGGTGCCGTGATGTAACATGCGCTTTGCTTTGGGCTGATAAGCTGTAAGCAGTTTCAAATACCACTTCCTCACTGACAGCGAACGATCAACTCATACCCAGGACATCGATTGCCAAATGCCTTGGTGATCTTTTTTATACAAAAAACCTAGCTTGTTCTACCGATGTCGCTGAAACATTTCACAAAGTTAGAAGGTTATCTTTCCATGTCCTCAGACTTAGTACGCGTTCCGTACCACGTGATTTGATATTTAAATTGATGACTGCATGCATTCTGTCTCACTGGCTTTACTATACCCCATTAATATCCCCACGGCTACTAACAAGATTGCATATTGTTCTTACGTTCGTTAAAACTTACTTCCAGATGCAGTCGATTGTCTAGAGAGGAACCTGTTGATTTTCTTGTCAACAAGCATGTAGACACTTGTACTAGCTTTTTCGTCAAAGTACTAAAGGATCTTTTTCATCCACTGCATGGAGCCTTGCCAGAAGCGCTCTGTTTCGTTTACACGCTCACGTACGGCTTATAAGCACAAGTCTATCCTACCGTACTTGTCACGATTACTTCTGGACTCAAAGAAACCCATCAGCATGATGCGCAATTGTTAGCTTGATACGCAAGCATTTTACATGACACAATTTATTTGTTTTTATCCATTAAAGCTCATGTATTTTTCTTTCACAGTGATAATGTAAAAAAGCTGGAAATATGTCTACCCAGGCGCATAAAAAGTATTTTAAGTCGACTTGTCAATGACTGTGTTCCTACCCACTGGACGTACCGCTTCCCTGTGATTTTTCCCGGTCCTATAGGTAAGCACTTTAAGTTAATTTAGAGCAGTTAGCTCCCTTTTGCGATCTGAACAATGCGGTAAGGCGAAAGCTGGTAGACGCATGCATTTCATATTGTCTCGTAAGTATTATTAACAATAACCAATTTGCAATTACATAAAGAACTATAGGTGTGCCCAAACAAGCTTGAGATATAAAATGAATGAAGAAGTTAAATCCCTATGTCCGTGACTGTCTTAAGCTCACAGATAGTTGTTTTTGAACACACAGGGCTGGTTTCATCCGGCTTATTGCCAGCGCCTCGGTGAAACGGAGGAAGTGAGGATTAGAGTAACGTAACACGATCGTAAACGCGGATCCGAGCGGTATCCGGTGACGCGTGACCACTAGGCAACGACCTATTAAGGATGCTGGGGGTTTGCGCGTACACGAAGATTCAGAAGGCAGGGATGATGGTCAATTGCACGTTGAACCCGCCTTGGCACGTGTTCTTTAATTTGTGAAATCAAAGACCGATCAGTTCTGCCTATGTAACTGGGTCCACAGTCACACACGATTTGTTATATGCAGTGCAAAACGGCCCCTGACGGCTTAGCTTCTTCTGTTGGAGGAAAAGGCAAATTAAGAATTCGGCTCAAGACCACAACTGCAGAGACATGATAACTTCGCTGCGTAGAGGAAATTAAACGTTTGGTGGTCTTCAGTGTAGGGAAGTCATCCTTGAAAGGCAAATCGATATAGACTGTTTTCTTAGCTGCAATATGCAGTAAGTACCTTGGGCCTCGCTGTTGACTGTGTTTCTCTATGAGTCTGTAAGGATAAGCATTCGCCATGAGCGTAGTTCTAATTAACTTTAGCTCGTCGGCCAGATAATCCGCCGAGCAAATCTGTCTAATGTGATTAACTAGTTTTCATAAGTGTCTCTTTGTATTGCACTGGTGTGAAGATGGTGGAATGCAGGTGTTGGCCAGACCATGTAGCTTTCATCCATGCGACTGATAAAGATGTCTAGGAATGGCACACAGTTCTTCTGCTCCACCTCACAGGTGACCCGCAAGTTGGCATGTGCGCCGTTAAGCTGCTCCACCAACTGCACGGTCTACTGCTCCGATGAACAAAAGTGTAGTATGTCATCCAAATAGGGCTTTTAAATAAATAACTGCATTTGTAGTTACCGACAGACGGTACACGGCCCCATAAGTGGGAGCGATCAGTTGTATAACGAGAAGGTTTCATGGTTTATGTGACGCAAATCATAATGGTAAAGTTTATCAATAGAACTTCGGATCATGATTATTTCATTCCGCCGGATCTTAGATCCGTGCACCCTATATGTAAAATTTACGGATGTCTGTATCATCATTTTCTAGTTTGTGGGGCTCAGGAGTAGAGAATAAAAGGGAGGGGCTACTACGCTGCACAGACACAGGATTTGATATTGTAGGTAATGACAGGTAGTGCGTAGGCTAGTTGTAAGCGAATATCTGCTCATATGTTTTTTGTGTACCAGATTTTGTCAATGTTTCTAGAGTTTGCTGTGAATCAGCTCTTCAACACATTTGATATAGTGAGGAACGTCTGAAGGGAATTTCGAAACGTGACATAGGTTACACTCATGCGTATCTGTAGGGGGAGTTTGTTCCACAGATCAGTGTATCTCACTAAGAAGAAATTCGATCGAGTTTTATGACGAAAGGTTTGTGCGTATCAAGTAGTCGCCATTACGTGTGGGGTAGACTGCAGTCTCCCGCAGTTCAAGTGCGGTGCTGTCTGCGTAAATTCGTTGGTTTATAATGTTGTAGAAGAGACCGAGTCTGTTCTTTAAACGTTTCAAGCAAAGAGGATCCAGTTGGAGTTTTCGACAGCGATACCAATAACAAGTTTTAGCAACGATATATGACCAGCTTGGTAAATGATCGTTGGACAATTTCCAGAGACGTTCTGTCTTTCTTTCTCAATTGGCTGTGAACGATAGTACGATATTCTAGAGTCGGTCGTACTATTGTCTTGAATGACTCAAGTCGTGCTTCAGGTAGGGAGAACGTTCTGGTGATATATCCGCATAACTGCCTCGCTTTCACAACCTGATAAAGCACATGTTTGGAGAAATTGAATGAGTTGGAGTACCTAATTCCTAAGTCCCGAACTGAATCAGCCGTTGGGATCACATTTCCGGCGAGTGTGATAGAGTATTCTGGGATGCGGCATTTGTACCCAAGTACTTGGGATTTCACTGCGGAGAACTTCATTAATAAACGCTCACTAGCTATATTTACTGCGGATAGTGTTATAACGCTGCAACCGCAATCGACCTGTTGATTCACGCCTGCTGATAAATCTGCGCTCTTACGCCTTCTCTGTTGACGCCTTGGTAAACCCGACAGGAAGGAAGACAAAAGGAGACTCAGCAGACTAGAGTTGTATTAGAACAGAGAACGCTGATGTTTATATCTCGGTCTCACCAATCCTCTAACCATCGCCTAGCGGATTTGGCTGTAAGCCCACGCTCCACACTTGATTGTCCGCACCGTCTGGCCATTTCGCCGTCTTGCTCGGGCATCCCAGTTTTCATCCGCCTACTCGGGGCATGGCAACGCACGTGATCTCTGACGCGTGATTCCATCAGCTTCCGGTCAGACCTTGGCAGCAAGCATGCTGTCTGATGCGCGACTTCATCAGCTATCGGCTGGGCCCTGGTAACACGCTCACAGGGTGTGTCCCAAGCACGATTTGAGGTGAACACGCGCACGTTGGCACTCAGCTTTCTCGCCCAGCTATCAGATAGGTCTTCACAGATGTTTCCCTGGCACATTTGTAGTTGGTCTGGATGAAATGAGTAGACCAGTTTGACGTCATCTGCAAACAGAAATGGGTGTGCATGTTTGATCGAGTCACATATGTTGTTTACGTAGATTAGGAAAAGTAGTGATCCGAGCACACTTCCCTGGAAGACGCCGCTGGTTATTTGTTTCGGTGTAGAATGTTGCTGACCGATTTTAACTACCTGAGTTCGACCGTTTAGGTATGAGTCTAACCAGTTAAGCAGCGGATTTCCAATTCCATAGAGGAGACAGCAGTGGCTTGTGCGGCACTCGGTCGAACGCCTTTTGCATGTCCAACAGAAGTATACTGATTGTCATTCCTTCGTCAATCATAGTTGTGACGTGATCGAGAAATTGTAGCTCGCCGGTAACGCAGGAGCGTTTTAAGAGAAAGCTATGCCGTGAGGGGTTGATCAGATCCAGTCTTGTAAGATGTTGAACAATGCTCTTCTTGACTATTCTCTCTAGGGCTTTGGAAGCAGCTGAAGTGTGATTTATTGGGCGGTAGCTTGATACTTGATTTCTCGGTCCACCCTTGTGCTTAGGCATCATAATGGACTGCTTCCATTGAGTTGGAAAGCAGCCGGTAGTGAGAGAAAGTGAGATGTTTAATAACAATAGAGCGAGATATTTTCCTACGAGTTTTATAACGGCTGGGGAGATGCCATCTGGGCCTGGACGAGTTGATGATTTTATGGATGCGATGGCACTTTGCACCTCTCTTAACGTCACAGGGATATTACAGCATAGTTCGGTCGTTCTTTTTGGAAGTGGAGGATGAAATGGATGAGTGTTGGGGACAAAACAGGAGGCAAAACTAGAGTTGATAGCCTCGCATATACAGGAGATGTCGCGCGTTATTGAATCATCGTCTAGAGCCAACGTTTCGATTTTCTGAAGTGGTTTAGGTTTCCTTCTTTTGAGTAATTGCATCAATGTGCGTCTTTTCTCAGGATTTCTGAGTACCTGACTTTTTTCCTTGATTTTGACCGTTTGGGTTAGACGTTGTGAATGTAGTAACTTCTTGTGTATTTTGTAGCAATGTTGCGAAGCGGTAGTTCCTGCCATATAGCGATTTGAGTTTCTTTAGTTTGATTTTGGCTTTGTATAGAAGCTTGAGTTCACCACTATGTTCATGGGTATTTCTCCATACGGTAGGTGCCGGTAGATCCACACCAAGGGTAATATTGTTAATAAACCCATTTGTAGGCACAGCAGGGTTGTGAGTTAGGAATGACGTATTCCAATTCATGGTACTGGTAAGTTCATTAAATGACTTACTGTCCACACGATGGATGTTACGAATGGGTTTTAGCATTTTTACTTGGTCGTTTAGTTGACTCTATAGTCATACTACAAAGCACCGTGTTGTGATCACAGCAAGGTAGTGAATTATCAATGAATATATAAGCGTAAGAGATTCCCATCGTGAATACAAGGTCTAAGGTAATGGCACTTCTAGTTAGATCTCTAACATGCTGAGTCCAGACATTGTGGTGAATACATGAGATGACTTCCTCAATCCCCGCAGTGTTTCTAAGTGTAGGCAGCATCCAGTTAACATGTGGTAGCTTGAAATCTCCACACATAATTTTGGATTTGTATGTGGTGCTGGAAGCGGCATTGATCATATCGATTAGTTTTGGGTTTCACATTGAGTAGTTCGGGGCGGCCGATAGATACAACCCACTAGAAGATCAATAGATGGGATCACTAGCCATAGTGTATCTTCTAAGCCATTGAACACAGGCTGCGCTGCGGGAATTGCAGTCAGGTCATTTCGAAGATATATGGCACCACCAAGGTTGTGTGAGCGATCCTTGCGGAAAAGCTCATAGCCTAAGATGTTAAGCTGAGAATCACTCATTTCTGACGTACACCAAGTTTCAGTGATAAAACCAATATCGGGGGTCTCAAAACATAAGTGTTGTAAGTAGATCTAATTTAGGTAAAAAGGAACGAATATTAATGACCACAGATTTGAAAGACATTGTTAAATTGGAATGAATGTGGTGGGTAAGGTTTGTTTCTTCGTCATTCTACCTAAGAACTGTGTGCTGTGAGGTAGCTGAGGCACACTGAGCTCTAGATCGTACTGGATGGAATGAAGTACATACTAAAGTAGTTTGACTATTCTCTGATTCATAATGGTACGTGATAGGGGCTGGATTGGCGGGGGATGAAGTGGTGGTGTGCGATAGCCTTAAAAAAGAACTTACATCCGTAGTATACAGGGGTAGGGGATGCTGAAATCTACAAAATCGTCTTTCTTCGGAATACAGGGGGTGGTGGTGGGTGAATTTTTACTTGACGTAGATAGGGGTTGCACCCTCTTATCTGTAAGTCCGTGTGGCCTACGACCATTATGTTTGCTATTTCGGTGTCGCACACATAAGGGTTTTGCCAGTTTGAGGTTGCGGGATTTGGAAACGTAGTCAGAGACATTGTGGGTAAGTTTTGGGCCAGCTCTCTGCGACTTACCACGACAACAGTGTCGGTGTTGCATGCAGAAGCTTGTGGAAGTATACTATTTCTCAGTTGGTTTAGCTGTATATCTCTACGTTCTTGTAATGTTCGCTTCAGACCTAATGAGCTTTGAGTGCTCTTGGGAGGAATTCTGGAAGGGTGTTTCCCCCTGTTTTTGCCTACGCCTCGGTTGATCGCAGATAACCTATAGCTCACTTCATCCGGGTCGGATCTAAATTTGTTTTCGAGATGTCAACTTAACGATTTGAGTTTTTGTCTCGCTCTTGATAGGTTTCAGGTACAGTGACTGTCAACTTTTGTAAAAGCTCGCAGCTTGGAGAAGGGACAAAGGAGTTGAGTGTGTGGTCAGCAGTTGTCTGCGTCGTTATATTTTCAGCTTGGTTGGCATTTTTAGGTATGTGTCACGATTGTTCACTATGTAGAAGCAAAAGTTGATATTTGCTCGCAAACAAGCATACCGCTAGTCGGCTATCTCCTAATTCTCGCAGCTTTTTGTTACACTCCAAACCATTCTAGACCTAACCGGTCGATTTGCAGTAGGATGGTGTTTCTATTTTGCGGCAGCAAAACTTTTATTATGGTACTGTTACGTAATACATTTGTCTTTTGTTACATTGCTGAGATTGTGTGCGTTGCAGCTGAATATTCACCCGCCCAGGATGTACAAAGCATTTTCTTGACATGACCTGGAAATGCAATATTTGGTAGCTTAGAGAAAAGCAGTGTCAAAGCATGATATCGCAATGAAGGAAACCGTGAGTCTGCTGAGTTAAAAGAAATGGATGATGCAGGAGGAATCGGTGATAAGTAGAATCAAGCAAAACTGTCGCCACAATTCGTGTAAGAATTGAATTCGAGTCAGTATCTACTTTTTCCAGTCGTCTTGTCAACCAGAGATGAAATCAAAGGGACACAATATATGAAATTTCATGTCTCCATGAAGGATAAGTAGGTTTAGATGGATGCTTCTTATCTAGCAACGGAGGACAAGTTATTAATCACAACTACAGCTGCATGTGACGAACGCGAGTACCGGTACTGCAACACCTTATAACCAAGTGAGTTGAACAAGTTCAAATCAATGAATTAATTAGTATATGCTTCCTTTGTTTACAGATGAAATTGTGAATTTGGGTAAGAAGAAAAAACCCATTCAACCTAGAGATTCATAACCAAAGGATTAGCAAGTAGACCACTGGATACACATAGACATGGGATGGTTGTTTTGTCCAGCCAAGTGAGGAAGCAGCGAGTAATTTCTATAGCTATAGAGAGACTGAGACTGAGACTGTATTTAAGAGCAAGTAGAAAGGTTTCTGTACAACTCTATCGAATTACGAAAAAGCAAAATTTACTTGTGAATTATCAGCAGTTGTGTCTGGTCCGTTAATCGTTTATCCGTGTTCGGTTAGAAATTTGTACTAGCGTCATTTTTTCCGGACATACAATGTCTTCTTTTGACACTGTATGTGCATCGTTTCACAAAAGCACAGGTTTCCAAAATAATCGTCGATACGGGTTTTAAAACACTTCACAGAATCGGCCTCTATTAATCCTTCTGGTAGTGTATTCCATAAGTTTACGATTCTTCGTTCGATACAAAGCTGATGTGATACTTTGTTCATACTGGGGACCCTGAGTTTGTAACGATGTCCTCGTGTGTTACAGGGTTCTCGCAGGTGAAATATTGGCCGTAGTATGGGGAAGTGATTCAAGTGTAGTACTCGATGGGTCATAATAAGATCAATTCTTACTCGGCGATAGGATAGTGTGTAGAGTCCGAGCTTTTCACAACGTTTTTCATATGGAAGCTTTCGTAGACTTGGTATCATTCTAGTTGCGATATGCTGTATTTTCTCCAGTTTTTCAGTTTCCCATTGGGTTATCGGATGGTAAGCTGGGGCACCGTATTCAAGGATTGGTCTAATGAGCGAGGTGAATAGACGAGGGACGGTTTCTTGGGACCATGTGGAGAAACTGCGTCGTAATGCCAGAGCATACAAAGTCCCGCACGATACAATTTCTCTGTATTTTCTAGTGATCTTAAATCATGTCGTGAGAGAACTCCTAAGTCTCTGACAGATGTGTTGGGATGGAGCAACTGGCCGTCCAAGGTGTATGATCGAGTGGCTGGACGTCTGGTGATACTGATGAACTCCGACTTGCTTGCGTTAAGAGGGAGTTGCATTTCAGTGGACCACGTTGACAGTCGCTCTAAGTCATGCTGGAGGCGAGCGCAGTCGTCCTGGTTTTCAATGATCCTCCAGATTTTCAAATCATCTGCAAACAGGACACATGGTGACTGGAGCTGCTGCGGAAGATCGTTGATATGAATGAGAAATAATACTGGCCCAAGTACAGTTCCTTGAGGCACGCCACTGGTCGATGGGAACCATTCTGTCAGATAGTCATTGACCTGTACTCTAAACCTTCGTCCCACAATAAACTCTTGTATCCACTGAAGTAACGTGCCACCGATTCCATATGTCCTCAGTTTACGAAGGAGTACCTCCTAGTTCACTCTGTCAAACGCCTTACTAAAGTCGATGTACACCACGTCAACATCCTTCTGTTCATTGAGAGCTCGAACCCACTGGTGGTTTGCGTACATCAAGTTGGTGATGCAGGATCGCCCTTTCGTAAAGCCGTGTTGCGCTGGCGTCAATACGTCCATCGATTCGAAGAACGATAGCAGACACTTTTTCACAACCTTCTCGAGAACTTTGGATAATACCGAAGTCAAACAGATCGGTCTATAGTTCTCTATTTTACTCGGATCACCACCCTTGGGAAGTGGTTTAACTATCGAGCATTTCCAGTCGTTCGGGACGGATCCTTCAGAGAGCGATCTATTGAAAAGGTTTGTCACAACTGGTGAGATGATAATCGATAGGGACTTGAGTATTAGTGGGTGAAGTCCGTCTGGCCCGGGGGGCTTTGCACCATTGAGGTTGACGAGTAGCTGATGTACTTCGACTGCATCACATTGTAGGCTGTCGAGCAAGACTTGCGCAACCTGTGCCGGTACTGGAACAGCCGCCGGTTTACTGGAAAATACAGTGAGGAAGTGCGTAGCCAGGGCGTCCGCGCGCTCCGCGCTTGAAATGAGTGTCTTCCCGTCTAAGCTCTCTAAGACCGGTAGGTCGTCTCCAGGTTTCAGTTGACGTTTCAAGTAGGCAAATATTCTCTTGGGTGCAGTTGCGGCCGAGGATGCTAGCTCCTCTTCGAACTGCCGGCGTTTCTTGATCTTTGCGGCGTTACACAAGTTACGCTGTTTCTTGTACACCGCGTAATCTTCATCACAACCCGAGCTGATGTATCTATCCCAAAGTTTACGACGTCGTCGCGCTAACTGTCTGTATTCCCTATCAAACCAATGCGGTTTGACAGGTCCGATTTTTGGATACTTAAGGGGAACGAACCGAGTACAGAGCGAGTTAAGCTTCCCCTTTATTAATGACCACCACGCCTCAAGTGACGCATCATGTGGTAGTGTCCAATCAGTCTGACTTGCGGCTTGGACGAGTCCGTTGAAGTCCGTCTTCCAATAGTTGAATGTCGGCTTCTGTTGATTGTAATATGGTAACGACAGTTCTAAGCTTGCTACAATAGAGCAGTGGTCACTGTTCGCCAGAGGTTCGATGACTCTGATCTCTTTTAGCTTCTGCTCGCAGCTCGTAAACATTAGGTCCAGACAAGATGCCGAGTATGGAGTTACGCGCGTCGGTTGGATGACATGTTGCGTTGCCCCAATTTCAATAGTCATTTTAGCGAATTGAGTCTCAACGTTGCCATGACCGGGAAGAAGTCGAACGTCTGGCCGAATTATCTTAGGTAAATTTAGATCTCCCATCAGTAAGAACTGATGGCGGCTCATGTGCTTCTGTACATGTGGTATCCAATCGCAGCAACGGTTTAATGGGCTCCGGTAGATAACCCCCACAATTAGTTCTGCGCGCCTGAGACGGATTGTGCACCACAGTTGCTCGCATAAACTATCCTCGCTCCGATAGGTACTGATAAGTTTGCCAGATAGTGACGATTTTATGTACAACAGAACACCACCGTGAGCCTTTGATTTTCGGTCACATCGGAAACAAGAGTATCCTGACAACACGAAGGGTTGTCAATCTATTTCTGCCAGATGCGAGAACAAAAGTCTGATGTGACGTAAAACATCGGAGTCTAACTCCTTTAGTGTCAGAGAAAAAGTATGATTGTAGCAGAAAGGAGAGTGAATGCACGACTGTTATGAGAAGTGGCAGAAAAGTGACAATGCGGTGCTCCCTAGTGTAGTGATGTAGGTATAGATAACAAGGGGAAAACTAATTCATCTGCAGAGATGAAGCTGTCCGCGTTTACCGACGGATTCCCATAACGGAGGGCTGATCTGATCTTGACTTTGTTTAAAGTTTGCTTAGACGAATAAATTGGTGGATCGTGTAAAAGTGAACAAACCTCCAGCCTCTTCTGTTTATATTGAAAAGTATCCAGATGAATTTTGTCCGGAGAACAGTAACAAAAACAAGCAACAATGGTTATACTTACGTTCAGCAGCTCAGCTACGCGGTTGATCACCTCGAGCACAGACCCAGGTCTGCAGGGTAACTGTTCCCCCAGATTGTAGTAGTCCACAAGTATAGGGAGCAACATCAAAACGGCGCCGACGACAACAAAACGCTCCCCGCCGAAAAGCAAATAGGAGCTCACTTGTCCATCTGTTCCAAGTACATCCAGACTGCCCGTTAATTCGAACAGGGGTTTCGATGAGGACCGAAGTGTAGAGACCGGGGGATTAAGGACAAGATCAGAGGGGACAGGCTGAAAGGAGAGGATCCGACCAAAGGAAAATACATTACAAGGTAGGAAAAGAAATATTATCAACTGCAGACAAGGTGCATGCGATTGAAATAGGAAAGATAGACTCGAAAAGTGAGGAATGAGCATATATTCATGAGCTCGACCGGGTAGTGTAAATAGAGATATCTGGATCTCGTATGAGCCGACGATGTAAGCAAAGAATTCGAATGAGAGGAAACGTTAAATGTACTCCCGACAACCCACTCTGCGGTCAAAGTTGATTGTGAGGGCAAAGATGCTCGCAAATGTAGGTCACCAACGTGAACATGCCAGTAGTAGGTAGAAAGAGATATTCATAAGCACGTAGCCTCCACACCACTATCTGGCCCGCGTGTATCACGTCCAAGAAGAATGATGTCAGCGGCAGATCGGTACTCTGAACAGTGTATCGCTGATAGGTAAATGTCAACAGATCCAACGCATAGAATGCCTTTGAGCCAACTTACATGCCAGTAGCTTGAGCAGAAGATCGGATCAACTAAGTCTTAAGCCTCTGTTAATCAAAGTTGATGCAGTTTTGGAGATGGAACGATTGGTAGACACAAGATATAAGAAGATAGTCCGATCAGCTAAATTAGTTCGAGCGCGGATAGGGCAGTTTGTTGTAGAATCGCATAGGATAGGTGGCTGTTTAGTTTGAGGAATGTAGCGGAATAAGGAGGAAAGCGGTAGAAACAAAGCAAAAAGGTGCGCCCACTTTGTCATTAGTTGGCTAAGGTGGGCATAAAAGGAGAAGAGCGTGTGTAGGAAAGGGGAACGTACAACACGCTACAGTTTATTTATTTTTAAAGCAGCAAAGGATCTCTATACATGTTCGCTAACCTTGTGCGAACTAAACTGCGGACGCGACCTACTGGTGCTTGAGAGGAACGAAACGCTTGGCCTTATCTGTACTTATACCATCGGGCCTCCACTATATGAAACAAAGTGCAGGTAATTATAACGAATGGAAAAAATTGTAAAAACGCTTCATGGTGTAAACAACTGCGACAAAACCAATTTGTCAAGTGACAACAGTGGGTAGTAATATAGTAGTAGTATGAATAGCAGTAATCCTAAGTCTGGTAAACAGGTATAGAGCCATGGATATCAGCAGATAAGGGGCAGATTCGCCGCGTCATAATCATCGTGGCACAGTACTTGAAGGTGAGCAACACACTTCAGCTACTGTGCCGCAGGAAGAAAGGAAGGTTTTGACAAAAAAAACAAAACAATTTAGTTTATCTTCACGCGCCGATTTTTGTCATTTTCAAGGTATAAAGTATTAAACATGTGAATCAATACAATTATGTGCACAGTTCTTTCACTGATTCCGGTTGCAGGCCATGTCTTCAAGCGTGTTAAGCCATTGAGATTCCTCATCTTTGGGTCCCCATCATGGAAGACGTACAGGTCCAACGGCGGCTAGAAGCGACGATGATTTCATGTACCGTCACCAAGTAGAAGGCAGACCAACAAGCGGTTGCCTCCAGCCAGGTCCTTGACGAGTGAATAAAGCGCGACGCGGTATACACTCAGGTTCCATGCGTAGGACGTGACCGAGCCATCTCAACTGGCGTAGCAAAACCAGTTTGTTGAAGGGAATACTCGAACTCCACAAGATGCGACGTCGAACGTCATCACTGGGAACTGGATGTTGCCACCAAACATGAGCGATCCGTAGTAAGCAACCGTTATCAAAGACAGAAAGAAGGCGCATGTTTTCCACGCGAATTGGCCAGGACTCGCGCCCATACAAAAATATTGAACGAACAGATGCGCTGTAAACACGGCCCTTTAGCGAGAATGAGAAGTCAGGAAGAAGCCACAAGTGTCTCAGATTGGAAAATACTGACCGGGCATTAGCGATGCGGAGATAAACTTCCTTGCTGATAGTGCCGCCAGTAGAAACACAGCTCTCAAGGTAGACCAAACTATCTACCTGTTCAAGTTGTGCGCCTTCAAGAGCGAGTACGGGAGCAGGTGTAGGCCAATCCTGCAGCAGCACTTTACACATCGATGGGGCGAAGCTCATGCCATACTGAGATGCTTCCACCGCTAAACGATCTGAAATGAGTTGCATACCCTGAGGATCTTTACCTAGTAAGGCGATATCATCTGCATAAGCTAAGTCAGTCGTGCACTTACTCGGTAGCTCTAGGCCAAAATGCTGGAAACATCCAAGAGCACTCCATAGAACGTCTTCAATTGCGAAGTTGAAGAGGAATGGGGACATGGGGCAGCTCTGTCGCACACCGATATTGACAGCGAATGGCGAGCAAAGCTTGTCGTAGACCCTCACTCTGCCAGAGATATGAAGGTAAAGTGTAAGTAAGATGGCAGTATAGTTCGCTTGCACTCCGTTCTTTAGCAAGCAACGCCATAAAGCAGATTGGTCAACGGAGTAGAATGTAGCACGTATGCCTAGGAAGGCAACGATAGTGGGCCTGTGGTGAATGTAGCGATAGTTGAGGAAATGGCGGAGCGTGAAGATTTGACCCATGCATCTGCGGCCGGGACGGAAACCAGCTTGTTCATCACAATAGTGTGATCCATGTATTGGGGATAGTCTAAGAAGCAGAATGAATGCCAGTAGCTTGGAGGCAAGCGAAATAAGACTAATCCCGCGATGATTTACACACGAAATGCGAGTGCCTTTCTTGAAAATGGGAACAATAATTGATTCGCCTCAAGAGAAAGACACTTTCTCTTCATGCCAGATTTTTGCGAACAAGGTCAGCTGGTTAATGATCACCACGCCGTCGTACTTGAACAGCTCTGGAGGAAGTCCGTCTGAGCCGGCAGTCTTGAAGCGCTTCAAGCGTCGAATCAGGAGGCAGACTTCCGCTCCGCTGAGTAGATTCAGTAGGACGAGCCAGGGTGGACAACAAGGTATAGTGCATGTTATTATGGACGGTGGAGGTAAATTGAATTGCGAGTGAAAGTGCTCGGCCCAGCGGTCCAAACGCCTCTGTTAGTTGGTGATCGGAGACTCACCCGCCTCGCAAATAACCTCACTGACACCAAACTTCCTGAAGCCAGTGGACCGAATGAGTTGGGAAAGCTTGCGAGTCTTGCTAGAGAAGGCAGCTGTCTCCATCTAAAGCACGCTCAGACCACCATGTATCGCGATCCTTACGTAGGATTTGCTTGAGCAGCCGGTTGGCAGGACGCGCCCCTTGTTGCAATCTGGATTCCACCTAAATATCTTTGCGGCGTTTGAACAGCTCCAGAGAACGAGCAGAGATCCAAGCCTTTAAGTGGCGTCGAGCTAGGCCGAAGCTTGACTATCCGGAAATGGTCATCGCTTTCTGTATACAATTCCAGTGTTGCTACAAGTCTTGCGGTGGATTGCAACTGAGTGCGTATGCCAATGAAGACTGTGAGCTCGCCTGGACAGAGGAATCAGTTAATCTGTTTACATCAATCTTGCGGTGCTTCGTATTTCGGGACCCCCAAAACACCTACAGATTTTCGCGCAGACCAGTGCATAATGTGAGTTAACGAAGGTGGACCAGTAGGCTGTCACGCCATCTGATGTTGATTGCAATGTGAGCAATTTGAGACCACGGTTGTCATGGCGAAGCGAAACACCACGTTGCGGAACACGTCTTCGTACGCCTGAAGCTAGTGTTCGAGAGAAACAGATGGTTGTCTTCGCACAATGTGGGAATCCTCTCTCCGTTATAAGAGCAGTCCTCATTGAGCGCAGGTGGTGATCATTAAGGTGGCGTTCATATGGTAACAGGCGGCTAACCCGTGCATTAAAATCACCAGCAAGGACAACGACATCCGACATTTTAGCATTATTCAAGAGCTGATGTAGCGCCCGATAGAAGTCGTCCTTGATCGAGCCGCTACTGCAGTCAGCTGGAGCGTATGCGGAGGTAACAAACAAGTTGCGTCTCTCTTGGCGGCACTTGTTGATTCAACCTGAGCCCCGAAGCAGAACTGCACACAGGCGGCTGTTAAGAAGGAACCAGTCCAGTAGTGCCACCCCGGTCTTATCACCTAATGCTATACCTACACCAGCCAAACCCGCTGAGACCGCTTCTGAATCTTCAGAACGACGCAGGTGATATCTAACTTCCTGATCAGTGGGGGATGTCATTGTAAGTACAGTGATCGGTCTTGCAATCAGGTTTCTGAAAGGCAGCAGACGTCGATATCGAAGGACCCTAGGGTGCGCGCTGGATCGGCTTGCTGTCCAATCTGCATAAGTGTCCGAACGTTGAAGCACGCCAGACGGAATGAGAATCTGGGTCGAGAGAGAGCTATAGGTTGAACTCCTTGGTCTGCGGCGCAACCGGAATCGCAGCCAGATTGCTGAACATATGAATCGGGTAACGGAAAGTGAGGATTGTTAGCAAACAAACAATTGGCGTGTGATGAAGTCACGTGAATGGGAGAAGCAGAAACGGCAGCCGATGAGCACATTGTAGAACAGTCCATGGTTTTATAAGAAGGCGTGATATTACCTGGTTGCCCAAGTCGAAGCAGGGAGTTGACTTAGGGGACCCTACCCCGAACCTTTGGCTAAATAGCTTACCCGTAAGGTAGCGGGGCGAATTCAGGGAATCGCGCCCATTGAGAGTCGGTAACTGTATGTTTAGTCCATACGTCTTTTGCTTGGTAGATCACCAAACAGGAGCCAAATGCTCCCCATAAAATCGGCACAATTGCTGGAGTACAATGCCGCACCGAGGTGGAAAACTGTCGTCGAAAAATTCGCTGGAACGGGGTACACCGAACCACTCAGCTGGCACCACGAGGAGGTAGTTCGGCAAGCCAACTGGTGTTTCGTTGTCAATAGCTAACAATCAAAAAGCTATGAAAACATATTTTGATAATATAAACTGCTTCAGAGAGCAAAGAGAGATCTAGGGAAGTGCAAGTGAAGCTGACATTTGAGTGAAATCTATCGGTGACAGGTAAAGTAAGTAACAGGGAAATATAAAGGTCATGTTTGGCAGGTACCATGA